TCTCAAACTCCACTGAACGAGGATTTTCCTCACTTTGCTGGGCTGGGGGAGAAATCCAGCAGGAATTTTTCCTTAAGGAACAGTCCTGTGGCTGTGGCAAATTAAATAAATCGAGYAAAAGAAATTTTACAGCTTTTCTAAAATCAAAYAYGACAGCAATAAAATGTGCCATCAGGACCAAAATTCTTCCACAGTGAAGTCCATTTTGTTCTTTTAGATTAAAACAGTGTCCAGAGTCCAACACTGAGCACATCCTGATGTTCTCCTCACATTTATAATTTTTTTATTACATTTTTTATCACACCTTTTATCAGCTGGATGAAGTTCTGCTGAACTGAGCTGTTTTGTCTCCTGCTGAGGGAATCCTCCCTGGCCTGTGTTTGCTGTTTCTGTGCAGCCCCAGCAGCAGCTAAAGTTTAATTACAAAATAATTTGGTTTTCTGMATGACTCACACAATCTAAATAAAGACAAAGTTGGTTGTAAATAATTTCTGTCAGGCCTTATTATKCCTATATATATATTCATATTTTTTTTCTCTCTCTCATGAATCAGGCTATTAGAATAACATTAGATAAATTATCTGAACCACTGACTCATGCAAACCAAACTGCTCAGTTCTGTTGTTCCTACAGAAAATGTGGCTTTAGTATTCAAAACTCAATCTCYTTTTGCTCTTGGGTGTGATTTTATYACCACAAAATTATCTGYGCTTCAGCTACACASCACTTCCTGTAATTACTGAATAATTATCCACCACATTTATATTGTGGAGTGTGAAGGGGATCCCAGATTTGCTCCACAAAATGGGATTAATAAAGGTTCCACTGGAGATCACCATTTTTGTTTCAGCTGAGATGCAGAATCCTAAACAAATCCTGCAAAGACASAAGTGCAGTAACTCAATCCCACCATGTTTTGACAGAATTTACCAACCTTGACAAAACTGGGATCTCCTTGCCAGCAGACACCAAAACGAGCTGAATTTCACCTGCATTTCACTGCTTTAATTGCTGCAGCCACGTCAGGAGCCAGCCCTGGGCAACTCTGTGACTTGCAAAACAATTGCAATATTGAAATTCAATTTTAAAACAAAAACAAAGCTGATTTCATCAGCAAGACATGCTTGGCCCAGTCCTTTTGTAACACATTTCAGCTTCCAGGTGCCTTACAAATGCCACAATACAGAGAAATGGCAATAAACTATTTGAATTCTGATAAGGATATTTAAACTTTTATATTGTCAAAGGCACCTAAATTATTCACGAGATTTCAGAGGGGAACATCAGGGGTTTGTTCATGTTCTATTACAGTTCTCTTTTCAGGTAAGGGAAACATCAGTAGAGAGAACAGATTCCAATCCACCCAAAATAAAAAGTGCTCAGAACACGGGGTGCTGATCAGACTTGATGAAAACTCAAAAACAATTGCAGATCTTCATGAGAGAAAGGTTATTAAAAAGCAAAACCAGGATGCTGTCAAATCMCTCCAAGCAACTGATGCACCATCTGCAAAGTCCCTTCTACAATGACAACTCCAGAATAAAAAAAGTGTTTCCTGCATGTTCTGCTTTGCATGTATAAAAATACCAAATGATAGCTTGGCACAGGAGCTCTAAAACCACAGAAATTCAGAGGCTAATCTGAAAAAAATTGAGGCTTGCAAACACAGTTGGCCAAAGCACACAAGGAAATTGGATAGGTGCAAAAAGGCTTTCACATTTGTGTAGTGAGGACTAGGCCAACAGGGAAAATGCACCACTCAAATAAAATCCTAAAGGGAGAGAAAATAAGGGGAAAAGCAGACCTGTGGGACTCAGCAGGGCATTGAAAATGGCCAATCTCACTTGTAGGATCAGAGCAGCAAGCTCTCCACACCCTGCCAAGGCAGGGGCTTGGAAATTGGTGAGTTTTAAGGTCCCTTCCCACCCAAACCCTTTTTTTTCCCATACTGGAGCCATATCCATGCTGTGGCCTAGCTGGAGATGACAATCCTTTGGAATCCCTGCAGGGCTGGGATGCTCAGCACAGCAGTGACTTTGGAACTGTCACCATCCAGGGAAGGAGCCTGTGATCCCTGCAGCCAAAGTTTCAGCTCACTGAAAGTGGGAAACTGCCAAAAAACGGGATTTTGGATCCTTGATGCCACCTGCTGGGGGCTCCTCGGCACGGGTCAAACTCCAGCAGCTCTAACCCCGAGAAAAACCCTCTTTTCTATTTCCTTTGGTCATAAAGAGAAATTCACTGGATAATTTAAAGCTGTGAGGAGTCAGCCAATTAAGACATTTAATAATTATTCAGCTCCTCCKAGGGATGGAGGTACAGTTTAGAGATTGATGCTGACACTGCAACAGAACCTAAGAACAACTCTTGACACAAATTTGCTACACAAATATGGGTTTAAACACTGTTCAGGAAAATGAGAAGTCGAGACTCACCACTCAGATTTGCAGTATMTTTTGGGATTCCCAAAAGAATGAACATGGAGGCACTAAAAGGTTTTCTTCAAACCAAATTGAGTTTTAAGGAGCCCTCCTTTCTCCTTTGGCAATTTCCTGAGCTACCTGAGCCAAGAGAGAACACATTGAGGAGCTCTAGGAGGGCTTTAAAAACTCCTGAACAGCACCAGTCCCTAATCACATCCCCTAGATTTAACCCACAGCCATCACAATGCCAGTCAGAAATTCCCTCTTTCCATTTGTTTTATATTCAAACCTTTTCATGAGTGGAAAACAAGACTCAGCAAACTCCCAACAMGTGCCTGACTTTATTATTTTAATAAACAATGCCAAAGTTCCATTCGTGATGCTTTACTAAAATTGTGAAGCCAATGTTTTCCTGAGCAAATAAATAACTGCAATAATCAAAATAAGGAAGTTCTTATCAAATATACAGAACCCAGGACAGGAAAGTAAAAAAAAAAGAAAAAAGAACAGAGAGAAAGGGATGGATTTTCTTTTCTCAGATGTAATTGCAATACTGTTAAYAAAACATTTTATAACCAATGGAGAAGTTGTGTGTTGTGTTTAGAAAAGCTTTAACTGTCCTCAGCCTCCAGATTGATGTTATTTCCAAACTTTGCATAGAGCTGAACTTTGAGGTCAGACAACACCCTCTGGATTGACTCCACTCGGGATTCCAACGCTTCGATTTCCTCTTGTAAACTCCTCTGAAAAAGCAAAAATAAATAAAAATCAACCAATTCTGTAAAACCGAGTCAGGTTTGTCAGCAACACAGAACCAACAAAGAGGTGTCTCTTTTCCAACTTTGGAATAAGTCTGGCTGCAGGATTTATTGCTGGGCCCAACAAAGGCTGGAGTGACTTTGGAGTGAAATCCTAAATCCAACATCCACTTTGGAATGTAAAAGCTCCAAAGAATGGACAGATCATCCCATCCCAGTGCTCAGCACAGTCCAGGAGTTGCAGACAAACCTTGGCCTCCTCCAGCATCTCCTGTGTCTCCTCCAGGGAGTGACTGATGAAGACATCCCCAATCTGGTAGGGAATCAGCAGGGAATCAGCATCATCCAGCATCATGATGTCATCACAGGCATCTTCCAGATTCTGCAGCTGCTTCTGTTTGCCAARACACAAGGAAGAGGCTCCCTTGGTAAAGGATTCCACTGGGCACACTGCCACAGCTGGGTAAGGAACTCAGGGATTTTGGGAACAAATCCCAGCCACCACCAGGATATGGAATTCAGGATCAATATTGAATGAAATCCACTACAAATCCCTAATTATCTCTCATTAACAGAATAATCAACTGTCTATACAAGAGCAATACAGCAGATTGAAATGTCACTGATATCTGATGTGCTTTTGCTTTCCCTTTTATTTCCAAAGTATCAGAAACCTATCAGAACCAAAGCATTATTTAACCTCACAGTAACTCACTGCCTCTATTTTCTATGTTACAGCTAAAAAAAAAACCAAGGCAATGAAAAATTTATGGGATCTGAAGCAAATATACCTTCTTCACTTCTATTTCTTCTTTCAGCTCAGTGATCCTGCTGGTGTTTCTTGCAAACTTGTTAATTTTCTGTTGATCTTCAAAGGTGACATTGACATCTTCTGCAGCCTGCAGGGGGGGAGAGGTCAAAATGATGATTTTGGTTCTTATGTTGAGTCTCACTGAAAGGCTGCTCSTACAAAATGTSTGGAAAATAGTCTGACAGCCACTCYRTTAAATGTGGATTAAATGCTTAAATGCTTCTCCAAGGATATCAGAAATTCCCACATTTAGCTGCGTAT